CGCCTCCCGGGTTCACGCCATTCTCCTGCCTCAGCCTCCTGAGTAGCTGGGACTACAGGCGCCGCCACCTCGCTCGGCTAATTTTTTGTATTTTTTGTAGAGACAGGGTTTCACCGTGTTAGCCAGGATGGTCTCGATCTCCTGACCTCGTGATCCACCCGCCTCAGCCTCCCAAAGTGCTGGGATTACAGGCGTGAGCCACCGCCCCTGGCCTTTAAGATACAACTTTTTAAAGAAGTTGAACAGACTCTGATGCTCCTTTAATCCCAGGTCATCCTGGTCCTCGGTGCCTATTATTGAGGCAGCATTAAAGCAGAGGACAGATGTCAGGGAGTCGTCAAGTCAGGGAGGGTCTCAGGGAGGCCCGTCCGGCTTATGACCTAGAAAGGGCCAGGGCCACCGGAGTGGGCAGAGCAGGAGAAAACAGGTGGGTGTCATGATCCCCAGCGCCTGCGTCCTCTCTCACCTGGACCCCCGTGTGAGGGCAAAGGAAGCCTTGGAGCCCACCTGGAACATCCAGATGGACAGTGGATAGAAAAGATCAGCCCCAGCACAGCCAGCAGCTGCTTCCAGATCCACCCAAGACCCCAGGCCACTTCTGCCCATGTCAAGCTGGGAGGTGGACACAGTCAGATACACTTGCAAAGTCACCCAACTCCCAACGTCTTACAAATGAATCTAATGAGCTGTGCACTGGCTGATGAGAACCACCACCTGGCCTGGGCCTGAGCGGGTAGCTGGTTCTGTCGATGTGAGGTCTGGACAGAACCTCATGAAACAATATTTAGTTTACTTGGCCTCTGTCATCCTTGGGGCAATAGATTCTCTGCAAGCCTTTGTTGCTTTTTGTTGTGGAACAAGTATAAAAAGTATAAAAGCATTTTTTGAACTTTCTGCAGAAAATTTCATAACCTCATATTTGCTTCCAGGCAGTCCATCCTGGCTCCTTACCCTTTGCTGCCAGGAGGCTTGTCTGTAGTAGAGTGTCACAGGGAAAGGCTAGTTCTGTGCTACGCTGGAGCTCATGGGCCCCAGGCCGTCCATCCCGGCTTATCTGGGATTTCTCTCTGTGAAGTCGGGGGATGGCAGAGGAGTCCACTTCCATCCTAGCGCCTCCATGGGAATCGTTCCCGAGTGCATTTGCAAGAAAGAGCTGCGGCCTCCCGACGGCACGGGTGAAAAGGGCTCCCAGCGAGAAGAGGGATTTGTCAGGAACGCTAGACATTCTCCCAGCCTGGCCCAGGGACCCCCTTTGGACTCAATTTCCTTTCATCCTCCGCAGGCACGAAAACATCACCAAGGGTCACATATTTTTTCCAGTTTGTCATCTTGGCCAGCTGAATCTGAGAACATGTTTGTTGAATTTCTATCCCCAAATCTTTCCAGGTTTGCATCAAAGAGGAAAAGGAAACAGCATTTCCTTCCGTCTAGCTTGCTAAGCCAAATCTAGCAGAGAATAATGATCCTACCAACTGCCAGAGTTCAGGGGTCCCTGCTGGCCCCCCTCCCCCCACCAAATGCACAATCATGCAAAGGCTGCAAGAGGCCAGCTGGAAACCCGGAAGGTCTGACTGCGGCTTCTGCTCTGTCGAAAGACTCGCCTTTGCTGTTTTCTTTGATAAAGGAGGGAAATTTCACTTTCCCCCCTTTAGACCGGGAGTGAGCCTGCGGTCTGCCTGAGGTATCTTGCAACTGCAAGCACCAAATAAGCTCCTGACTCATCTCTCCCCTGTGGCTTATGCAGAAGGTAGGGACAGGATGAGTTCTGTGGTGCTTAATCATACAATACCTCGGCATTTCTGTCCAGGTACCCAGTAGCTGTCAGGCTGGGCCTGTATGATACAGATCCAAGAGAATGAATCAAAGTGCGGATGTGAAGATGCTGTTGTTAGCGTGGCTGCTGGAACCGTGGAAAGTCAGAAAGTCCACGGACTTGCCTACTTGCTCCCAAAGCCTTCCCCAGCACCAGAGGGGCTGAAATCATTAGCGTCCACATGGCCCGCCTTGGACTGGAGTGGCCTCTACTGGATTTTCCCAAGGGTGTCACTATTCGGACACCTGGGTTTTGACTCACGGCTGAACTACTGGCCTTACTCTCAAGTTCTGTTTCATGAAGGCACATGCATGAGAAATGCTAATGACACTCCTTTAAGAAGTTCAGTGTGGTATAACTCAAGCTAAGCTCCTCAGTAAGTCACAAACTGCAGGAAAATGACTGCAGCTGAGTGATGCTCTTGTAGTGGAGGCATGCCTTTTTCTTAACCTATACGCATGGCAACAGTAAATGGTGTGTAGCACCCAGGAGCCACGACCCAGGGACAGAGACGGCACCAGGAAGGGGTCAGCCTCACTTTCTGAACTAAAACAAAAGTGGCTGAGCACAAGTGAGTCACACCTTTTAGGGAGGTGTGAAATGGCCACAGACTCCACGAGGGCAGGACTGTGCTGTTGTGTTTTCTGGGCCTAGTGTCTGGCACGCAGCGGGCTCTCCATCCACGTTTCTTACATGAGTCAGTGATCTCACTTGCTGGGCCTTCTCTCTTTGGATTCATGACATCAGCATCTCAGGTCAGTATAAAATAAGGCTCTTTCAGCCTGGCACGGTCGCTCACGCCTGTAATCCTAGCACTTTGGGAGGCTGGGGTGGGGGGATTACCTGAGGTCAGGAGTTCGAGACCAGCCTGGCCAACGTGATGAAACTGCGTCTCTACTAAAAATGCAAAAATTAGCCAGGCGTGGTGGCAGGCACCTGTAATCCCAGCTACTCGGGAGGCTGAGGCAGGAGAATCGCCTGAACCCAGGAGGCAGAGGTTGCAGTGAGACAAGATCATGCCATTGCACTCCAGGCTGGACAACAAGAGTGAAACTGCATCTTGGTCGAGGGTTGGGGGGCAGGGGGCGGGGGGGAAGACGCTTTCTACTTTTTAAAACATTCTGCAATAGCTGTGCCGTGAGGTCTCTTAGCAGAGTTGGCGGCACAGGTTCTGGTGGAAGTGCGGCATGAGTGATCCACTGAATTCCCCCCTTGCCAGTCACTGACATATTTCCTGGGCCCAGAGTAGCTCCCTGTTCCCCCTTCTTCCTGCTGCTGCCTGGACAGGACCCCAGGGCCAGGTTCTCCCGTGACTCTCGGGCACCTCAGGGTTAGGTACAACAGGCTCCTCGGCTGTGAACCATGAAGCCGATGTGCCCAGAGCCAGAGACAGAGCTGATGCTGGTTAATCCCACACCAGCCTGGAGCCAGGGACTTGTCTTTGAGTCCCGAGAAGCCGCCGTTCCCCGGGGTGTCTCCCATTACGCACCTTATCACCGTCGGGGTGATCTCCGCACAGAAGAACACGCTGAGGCTCCCCACCGCATGGGAGGCAAACATGCCCACGATGGAAAACGCGATGGAAAATTTGTCCTTGACGCTGTCACTCATCCCTGGGGGAGGGTCAGAAGAAGGGGGTGGTGAGGGAAGAGAGGAAGCCAGGCCAGGGTGGGAGGGAGGCCCGGGGCTGCACGGCACGGCTCCTCCCCAGTGCCCAGCGTGCGGCATGGATGGGTGTGCAGTTCCCTCTGGGAACCAAGCCCCGCAAGGACTAGAGGCCCAGAGTCCCCGCAGTAGGTTTTGTGGGGCTCCCGTGAGTCCCTGTGCATCAAGCATGCTGGAGCTCATGGCGGCCTCTGTTGGCATTCCTCAGGCGGGAGCCATGCCTGGTGGGAGGGCAGGTTGGCGTGTCCCCGGTGCCACAGCAACACCCCTCTGCCCTGGCCTACGTTTGCTCCAGTCAGGTCTGATGTGCCCAACACATGGGACAGGGGAGCTGAGTCAGGGTTGAGGAAACAAAAACTCAAGCCACAGAATTTATGGGCCCAGAAGGAAAGTGTTCAACCCATCAAAGCCCTCGTGAATGGCACCGGAGACCGACCTCGAACCAGGGCCGTGTCTGGCACCGTGCATGGACATGCTGTCAGGGCCACACAGCTGGGGCTCAGCTCAGCTCCCCCAAGGCTGCAGAGAGGGCAAGCGCTCCCCAGGGACACGGGCGAGGGCTGGGGCAGGCCAGGCGGGAGCAGCAGCAGCTTCAAGGTGCAGGGCGGCACTGTGCTGTCCCCAGAGCTGGAGGGCAGCAAGCTTACACGGGTCAAAGGGGGGACAGCGGCTTCCCCTGGCAGCACAGACGGCCGGGCCCCAGCACTCCCGGCCTTTCTCCCCCACCCAGATGCTGTCCATAAGACAAAGCAAGCTGGCGCCGGGCCAGGGCCTGTGCTGAGCCTGGTGCCAGGGGAAGGGGCGGGGCATGCGTGCCAAGCAGCACAGAAACAGGGAAGCACCAGTCGCTCTTTCTAGAGGCAAGAGGGAGAATACAAATGTATCCGTATAGTGTCCAACCTACGGCCAACTTCAGCTGCAGTTCTTGGAGGGCAAGGGGGAGAAAGAGAGGAAACGGAAACCACAGGTCCGTGAGTCTTGGAGAAGACGCTGGTTTAGATGTAATACAAGACGAGGAAGCACAGCCCACGCGCTTGGGACTCACCTGAGTCTGGGTGCTGGCTGTACTTTCCAATCACTGGGCCCGCGGACATGATCGCACCCACACAGACAAGGGCAAAGCAGGTGAGGAGAGAGGAGAGAGCACGTTAGGTGCGGAATTAGCCCAGTGTGTTCCCATGTGACTTGGTTCAAGCAGACTCCCTTCCGTTTCTGGGATGGCGCTGGCTGCCAGGGCAGTGGAGTTCATACTGCACTAAACAAAGATCTTTCTGTTAGGAAGACAGGGGTAAGGTCCCGCTGACCTCAGAGCCTGGGGAGAAAATGGAACCTCCACAGCGAGACCCTAGCAGGTGCAAAGGGTGAGCTTCCGTGCATATAAAGTCACCCACGGGCCACTGCGGCCTGCACTCAAGCAGCATCAAGCATGGTGGGGCACCCCTGCTGGCCCCAGCTCTGCTCCTCACGGCTGCCTGGTGTTCACTTGGGGGCTCCTGGGCATTCCTGCTCAGGGCCAAAGGGGCATGGCAACACCTGGTGGCCGAGGCACTCCGCCACTTCCGCCCCAGCTGTGTGAGCAGGGCTGAGGCTCCCGGAAGGGCAACTGGGGAACGGGGATGGAGGGAGACAGGTACCACGTGTGTATTCCATTAGCTAAGCCTCCCAGCAGTCTCCCCACAAGGTACAGATTGCACAGGAACTGTCCAAGCCAGAGAGCCGCTCCTGAGTTGGAAGTGAGCCCTCTCTAACCCAGGCTGCACGACAAGGCTGCTCTGATCTGGGGGTGGTGGACAGCCCTGGCATCTAGTTCTGAGAGCCTGCGTTCATTTTCCTTGTAAAGGCAGGGGAGCTCTGTGGGGTCGATGTTCCCACAGTGTCCCGAGCCTGTCCCAGGAGGACCGTGCCAGGGCGGGAGAGGAGGTTCAGCGGCCCTGCCTGTTCATGTCGTGCCCTGGGCCGGCCACGGAGGTGCTGTGGTGGTTTGTCCACACACGGGGGTATCTGTTGGTGAGGAGCTATACAGAGCTTGCTGGAGGGGCCAGACGGACTCTCTTGCTTTGCCTTAGATTATTACTTTTTTTTTTTTTTGAAACAGAGTCTTGCTCTGTCACCCAGGATGGAGTGCAGTGGTACAATCTCAGCTTACTGCAATCTCTGCTTCCCGGGTTCAAGTGATTCTTCTGCCTCAGCCTCCCAAGTAGCTGGGACTACAGGCATGTGCCAACAAGCCCAGTTAATTATTTTTTGTATTTTTAGTAGAGATGGGGTTTCACCATATTGGCCAAGCTGGTTTGAACTCCTGACCTTGTGATCCGCCTGCCTCGGTCTCCCAAAGTGCTGGGATTACAGACATGAGGCA